TCCACCTGCACCCCGGAGGCAGGGTGCTCATCAGCAATAATGACCGGGGGCTCCTTCTCGGCGACATCCCCCTTCTTCGGCTTCTTGGTAGCAGGGGGGACCCCTTGGTCACTGCCTTCCTCTTACCGGCAGCGGCATCGCCCTCGGCTTTCTTAAAGAGGGCGGTGGCGGGCTTCTGGATGCCCTGTCCCGACCCCTTCGGGTCCTGTTTCTTCAAACGGGCAAGGCCCTTTACATTCACCATGGAAACGGGGATACCTGCACAGAGGAGACAAAGGGTTAGTCCGACGGGTCTAAGCGAAGGAACGATAACATCCAAGCAAAAAAAAAAACTAAGTACAAAATTCTAAAGCCCTCAGCTCCTACCTCCGGCCCCTCCGAAGGCCTTGTTGAAGGGAGGGTACTTTTCATCGGTCTCCCCTATGAAGCGGTACCTCCGGAACCCGAGGGTGTATAAATCCTCCTCGAGGGTGCAGTCTTTGATCGCCACGTTCTTGTCTTTCCCCTCCGGGAACTTGGCCAGCTTTAGGCCGTCTTTCTCGAGAGCGGCACTCCGGATCTTTTCGTGCCTTCGGAATCGGTCACGTAGCTCCCTCGGGAAGGGGCTCTCATCCAACTTCACGTAGCACCAACGTTCTCTCCATCCTTTGTTGGAAGAAGGAGCATCGGAGAATAGTTTGAAGCGGGCAATCTGCTGCAGGTTGGCGTACCCCTCGCCGTTTTCATGCCCCCCCGACACAGATTAAAACTCTGGAAGAATAGATCCAGGCTGGGCTTCACCCCTCGGGATTTGCAGAGCTGAAGGAACCCCGCAATGTAGGAGTGGCTGTTGGGCGTGAGTTGGCAGGGGACCAAGCCAACAAACCGCAAATATTCCCGGAGGAATGGGTGCAGAGGGAACCTAAGTCCCATGGAAACCGAAAGGACGTGAACAGCGATACACCCCTCGGGCGCCCTGGACAACACGTCGTCGGGACCTGGCTCCACCACTTCGGCCGAGGGCCCCACGTGCAGCTGGGTCACGTACAGATCTGCCTTGTCAGCCTTCGACCTGATCTCGAGGGCCTCAGTGTTCAGCCAACTATACCCCTCGGGCATGTCCACGGGCTTTCCTTGATCGACGGCCCTCTCCTTCTTCTTGGTAGCGGCCTTCTTCTTCTTCTTCACACCGGAAACCGCCCTCAGAGGTATCGGATCCAACGGCCTCGAGCTACTGGCCTCCCCGGAACCCCGAGGGGGGAGAACAGCAATCGTAACCTTCGAGCTCTCATTCTGTGCCTCATCCTCCGCTGTCTGCCAGGCGAGGGCTAAGTCTTCATCATCGCACTCCTGCTCGAAGCCCTCGGCTTCAACCTCCGCAGTGAGTTCCTTCTGGACCTCCCGGGCCAGGGCCGCATCACCACCATCCGAGGGTTGTCCACTGCTTGACTCCACGTCAGAGATGCCTTCATCCTCCATCGAGGGCGTCCTCGAGATATCTTGAGAATCACTCTCGGACGACATTCGCGCTCTAGTTCGAAGGCTCGTACAACTAGTGTTTTCTAAATGTTCTATCTCCTAGCCTAGGGGCGCAGTACAGGTAGCTAAGAGGTGAAGGGTAACTGGAGAACTGACCTTAAGAACAGAGGATTCAACCGGGGGCTGCTTTTTCTCTCTCTAGAAAAATTGGCAGAGCTTCGCTAACAGGTTTTTCGCACACAGAGGAATGCCCGGCCTTGGGGTATTTATAGGCGATGGATCCGGGCTTGGGCCTGGATTCCGGGCCTCCGGATGGACGCCATCATTACTCACCGCGTCTTCGCCCAACCGGTGACGCCGCCCACGGACAGCCAGCCAACACACGCCACGTGTGCCCCCCCCAACGGCTATATCCTGTCGTTACATATTCCAACGGCTATATTTCCAACGGCTATATTTTGGAAGCCCCCGGACTTTCTACTTCACTCCACTCCATCAAGGATTGCCTCCGGGTGCACTCACCCAGAAGTGCCCCCGGGTTGTGCCCCACACAGCACATTACACACGCCTTCGGGATAACTCCTTCAGATCCCTAGGGCAGCATATCAGGGCACCCCTCGGGTTTCCTCCTCAGCACTACAAAACCGGGTATCCCCCGGGGAGTGCCTCATTGACGGATGGCCCATGGCACACAAGTAATGGGAGCCCTCGGGTATCTTCGTCACCAACTCATCAACAAACAATGGACCCCCCCGGTAACAACTTCACTGCTGCCCTCATCTGGCAGGCCCTCGATCCCTGGATTGAGGGGCTCCCCTTCGGCGCCATCAGGACATCAACAGGAAGCCTTCGGCTAATCAACACAGGAGCCCTCAGAAGGGAGAGCCTTCGGCATTCCCGTCATTCTCCATTTTTCACCAAGGTTTGACATTTTCGATTCATCATTGGGGGATCCCCCCAAAATGAAAGGCGCCATCAGGACTCTTTTTCCCTCATTAGGACTTTTTCCCAAAGGGTTTTTCCTAATGAGGTTTTTAACGAGGCATCCCCCCAAAATGAAACGAAAAGCGTCAGCCTTCGGCCCACAACAGCAACGCAACTACTCTACTCCTTCTCACCACTTTACAAGTGCCTCAAGGAGTGGGGGACTGGAGGACCCCCTCGGGATCAATCATTAAATTACAAAACTTGCTGAAATTCCAACAAACAACAAAGCAAGCCCTCAAGTCCCGACATGTGGGTAACTGAGGGACTGCCTTCGGCAGGGACATAAAAGCAACAACTCCTCACCAACTTCAGAAATCACGACGGGACAACATCAAAGGGCAAGCACAAGTTACTCCTTTTCCCTCAAAGTACCTTTCGGCAAAAGGAGTGAGGGACTCCTGATGGAGTATATGGCCTGGGAACCCCCGGCCCACAGACTCCTACTACTCCAAGCAAAGGCCCAACAGGCCCAAAAGGCCCAACAGGCCCAAATCACAGCGCCCAGAGTACCAAGCAGCCCGCACTACACGTCAGAGGTGCCTTCGGCCCCCTGGCCGAAGGCTCCAAATTCTCACAGAACGAGTTTCTCAAGCAAACTAAGAAACTGGGAGAAAACGGCGAAAACAGCAGCCCTCGGCACTGTGAGCCCTCGGCACCAGGGGTGCCATCGGGAGGAAGAGCCTTCGGCTACTGCTCTATGGCCGAAGGCATCTCACTCGACAAGATATCCGCCTCACATGCGTACAGATCACCGTACTCTGCACAGACGTCCCATCCAACAGCCGCATTAAATGCGGCCACATGCGGCTGCCAGCGCCAACCAGTTGAGGTGACCCCTCGGTCAATGAGCGCTTGACACGTGTCCCTGCCCGGCATTTATTGCTACTATAAATAGCACCCCATTTCCTCATTTGTAACCACGCTGAAAAGTGATAACACGCTGAATACACTCTCTCTCTACATTTGGTTACTTATTCTGACTTCTCTCTAAATTATTCCCCGTAATAACCCTTCGGAAATATACCCCCGGGTAGACTATCCATCAAGTATACTTTAATTTAGTCCTATTTCCGGAAAATAAAGAACACAGTCGTATTCGTGTATTTAGGGTTAGTTTATTCCTATTTGGAGCTATTTTCCCTATTTTCTTAACTTTCTTATTATTTTTTTCTTAAAGCTTTTTAAAAATTGTAAACAAGTATAAAATAATAAGAATAGTTATGTTTCCTGTTATCCACGTTTGAAACTTTGAATGATAGATTTTAATTATTTCATATGGCCAGAAAACAATAAAATATTGAGTATGATATCTTCCGGTCTTCCCTTCTTTCGTACACACGTAGAATCATTCCATAAAATTGAAATTAGGGATGGACTCGGGTCCGGGCCGGGTCCGGGGCGGGCCTAGGCCCGGGCGGGCCGGCGGTTCAAGAATAGTGGACCCAGGATCGGCCCGGGTAGCCACCGGGTCCGGTCCGGGTCCGGCCCGGGTAGCCACCGGGCCCGGTCCGGGTCCAGGCCGGGCCGGGCCGGGCCTCCGGTTTGGATTTTTTTTTTTGCTTTCCTAACCCCCCCTCACCCCCACCCTCCCAAACCCCCCAAACCCATCCTACCCATCAAGCCCAACCCGGGTGGAACCCCAAAAATGAAAAAAAAAAATAAAAAAAATTCAATTTGGCCCGGGCCCGACCCGCCCGGGCCGGTTCACCAAAATTGAGACCCGAGCCCGGACCCACCCTACCCCCGGGCCTAGGCTCGACCCGGACCCGGACCCGAGAACCGGTCCGGTCCCGGTCCCGCACAGTAGCGGGCCGGGCCGGTCCACGGGCCGGGTGGCCCGACCCGAGTCCAACCATAATTGAAATTAGTTGAATCCAATAAATCAATTTATTAAGGCAGAATCTGCTCAATTATTGACATTATATAGGGAGATTTCTCAAAATAGGAGTACATGAAGTTTGAAATTCCAAAATAGGATTTCTACGTTTTTATTCCCAAAATGAGACCAACATGATAGTATTTACTGTCATCTTGTAGTCGTGACTGCCAAATAGTTGCAGTACAATGCATTTAACACGACATTATTTATTATAATTAATGACAGTATTTTTCATACATGACATTAATAACTCCTATTTTGGGAAAAATATATACTAGTCCTATTTTTGGAATTCCAAGTGTCCTTTGCTCCTATTTTGAGTAATTTCCCTATTATATAGGCCGGGAAAGGCATAAATGTACCCTAAAGTACATGTGAAGGTGTTCATATACTTCTCAACTTTTAAAAGCTGAAAAAAAAAACTCCAAATATTTCTATAAAGGAGCAAATTTATCTTTATTGACTTTAAACACATAAAATAAATTATAGCTTTATATTTCTAAATTGAAGTAAAAACTTAAAGAGTTAAACATACAGATTTATTTTTATGTTAAATATTAACTCTTTAATTTTAGTCTTGTTGTGAAATAAATTTTAACTTGATATTTCATAAATATTAATTTTAGCCTTGTTGTGAAACTTTAGAATAGTGGCAAAAATATAGTTGAAGAGTTTAGGGGGACAAAAATACGACCACTTTATTTGGACAGAAAAGAGAGCATTTAAAATTAAACAAACTCTTCCGCTCCAGCACTCCATCGAACCCGTTGTCCTCTGCGCTACCCTACCCCTTCAACAATTAGAGTGCATTGGGACGAAGATGGCGATATGCCCTCATCCTTCTTCCGCATCCATTCTCAGATCAATAGCATGCTATGAAGAGCGATAGTGCTGCAACTCTTTCTGCTTTCTTCTCTCTATTTCTAGAGCTTTGATTTCAGATCGATTTGTGTTGATCTATCACCATTGTCCCATGGATCCGTCGTCCATTTTCGACGACTACAATTTCATATTGATTGTTAGGGTTCAGATCTACTGCGGTTGTGCGATTGTGAGCGATTAGGAGCAAATATCCCTTGCGACGACCTCTGCAACTATGGCTGCGCAGATTACGAGCAATGGCGAACAAGAATGGCTGGTCAATGGCCGTCGCTGGCGCTCAGGGGTTGGTGTCTGGACGTTGCTGGTGCCCAGGCGCTAGGTAGGTGGATGTCACAGCTCTGTTGCACAGGGGAGGGGGGCAGATCTGAATAGGCTAGTTCTGGGGAGAGAAAGGAATCGGTTTGTGGTTGGTGGAGGCTGGGGAGGGGGCTTGGCGGTGGTCACAGGGTGAAGCGGTGTGGTAGCGGTCATTCGGCGGTTCCTACAGCGTTCAAGTTTCACTGTGACGGTGGCGGTATCCATGCGGCGGTGGTGTCAATGTGGCAGTGTCACTGCGGTAGGAGGGGGTGGCAATGACAGGAGCAAGATTGACGTAGTGACATTCAACCGTGACATGAAAATTAGAAAGTGACATGAGTATTTGGCAATTACTTTATGTTTTTAAGTATATAAACATTTTAGTCACATTTTTATCCAATTACAAATGTGGTCACATTTTTTTGAATTAGTTTTAGTGGAGTAATATTCAGGGAAAAATCTAGAAAATTTTGAACACATTGTTATATTTTTTAAAATAACATATATTCTTTGGTCTCGTTTAAACTTATAATCTTGGAAAATATATCATCATACAAAATATGTAATACTCAGTATTATATGGTAAAGAATACAAAAGGTTAATGATTTTTTCACATTGCATCAAATATTATAACACTTTTCTGAAAGAATTATAAATACTTAGTATATGGTAAAAGTTTTGAAACAAATTCTTATATTGACAATATCAAGTTGTGACATAAGTAGTTTTTGTTTTCAATCCAGCACCTAACTTGTAAGAATGTAGAAATTATTATGATTTAATGGTTGCTTGGTAATTGCGGTGGGCAGTGTTCGAGTGAGCAATGAACTAGGGGCTGGGCATCCCAAATCGGCTTCATTTTCGGTAAAAGTGGTGACTCTAAGTTCTTTCCTAATATCGGCTGCGCTTGGGGTTATAGTCATCCTCTTACGCCACAAGATTAGCTACGTCTTCACCGGCAGTAAGACCATAGCCAAAGCAGTCTCTGATCTTGCCCCTCTTTTGTCCATTTCTATTCTGCTCAGTGGCATTCAACCTGTGCTTACGGGTAATTTTCATTAGTATCATTACCTAGTACTCCGTGTATATATATATACTACCTCGGGTGATGTGCAAAATTTCTTATTTTGCTTTTTTCCTGTTTTTGGGTACACAAAAACTAACTTAATTGATGCGTTTAAAGATTAGTGTCAAACATACTGTATTAGGGTATCTTTAGTACACTTATGGTGAAAAGATATTTTAGTGACTTTTTAGTATTGATTGATTTTTAGTGACGAAATAGATCTTTAAAGAAAAAAAGTCGTAGTTGTTTGATAAAAAGTTGTCTCCTTGATTTAGTTATGCTTGATTTACAAACTGTATTAATTAATGCTTAAATCAACAAACAATTCTCAAATGCTACTCAGTTAATCTTTCAAAACTTTTAATTCTGAAAAAATGCTTTTAAAATTTGTCATGTCAAATATTACATCCGTCCCAATGGACTTTGCGCTCCTTAAGTTAGGTGAGAAATAAGAATAGTAAAAATTGTTTGGTTGAAGTTTTGTGAGACAACAAAAAAAGAAAAGATGTCAAAATCCAATGGGACGGAGGGAGTATATCATTACAAACTTTTAGAGACTTTTTAAATAATACGAAAGTCTATTAAAAATGCACTACAGAAAATGCACTTACTCGGCAATGAAAGTCGCTATGTTTTAACTTTCATTAATTACGTCCTCCTATTATATAAATTTTGTCAAAACTGACATTTGACAAGTCATCCGTCGGTCAATGGATTACCTACTAATGGGACGGACACATGATCTAACGCTTTGCATACCTGGTGGCCCACGTCACATCCTCTTCTCTTCCCCCCCTTCGTTCTTCCTGTCTTTTTCTTACCCTGTTCCGCCTTCCTTGCACACTGGCCCATTCTTCCTCCATGGCATGAAATCGCCCGATGATGCCACTATCGAAACACTCAACAAAATAGTTCAAATCAACGGCCTGTTGTTCACCATATCTCCCTCAATTGTCACGTCAGCCAAAAATCGATTTTGAAGAAATATAGATAATAGGAAGATCTATTTGACACTTATCTCATACATTAATTTTAGAATATATTCTTATATTTTCAATTAAGAAAGTCTCATAAACATACTTATGGATCTTGAATTCTATCAATTCCAAAATTGCAAAACGGCCGTATGAGATACTCCGTATTTTAAGATAAGTCGATCATAAAATTACAACATCTAAACTTTATACTAAGACTCTTTAAAATAAGGTTTTTTCTAAATTGGAATAACGAGTTATATATTTTAAAACAGAATAAATCAACTAAGTTAGTTTTTTTTACATAAAAAGGACAAATTTATAAAATAAGAGTAAAAATAATGTAATATTCTAAAATAGGAGCACTCTGTTTCCCCCTATATAGGAGCAAATTACTGTAATTCTAAAAACTTATTTTCATATTTTGACATTCACATTTAGACATGATATCATAGGGTCAAATTTTTCAAAACTCGATGGTAATTAGATCTATTTAGAAAATATAAACATAATGCTCCTATTTTGAAATTCCAAAGTGCATTACTTCTATTTTCTGACAATTTCTCACAAAGGGAAATTAAATCTCAGGATTTCCCTTTAATGAATAGTGGGTGTCCAAACTTATAAGAACAGTTAAATGGATGTTTATTTTGTCCATTTCAAACCTCTATAGCCTCTTTGAGATTCGTGTGTATCCAATTTGTTCCTTCTCGTTAATTAAAATTTGCATGAATGCATTATGGGTTGCTACTTTAATTCACTTGTATTTACAACCATTGTATGGAATGGATGAGGTTTTTAATTAAGTGTATCGATCTGCTTGGTATATCAAGGGGTGGCTGTTGGATGTGGATGGCAAAAATTTGTAGCCTACGTTAATGTGGGGTGCTACTATATTGTCGGTATTCCCGTCGGTTCTCTGCTTGGATTCAAATTTCGACTTGGAGCTAAGGTATAAATTAAATTCCAGCTATATCTATCTAAAATAGTTGCTAATTTCGTCCCCTTTTATGCGTCATTGCGTCTTGTTTTGATTTGACACAACGATTAATAAAGTTGTTCAAAAAGTAAGGATTGTGATTAAAAATTTAGTATAATAAAGCGAAATATTGTTGATCACATATTGTAGTTTAGAGTTGAATTTTTCTTCGCATATCATTCCCACAACTGAAGAGTGTATGTTTTCATGACGTTACAACAGTTCATATGGAAATAGAATATTTACAACACATTTGGAAGGGAGTTAAATAAAGCAATACAGTAAAACCAGCTCTTGTTAACACTCCCCCTCAAGGTGGAGAACGGATATCTATCATTCCCAACTTGTCTGGAGAGATATGGAAGACCCTACCACATACTGCCTTTGTTAGAATATCCACCTATTGATCCTTTCAAGGAACCAATGGAAGCTCAACTGTTCCTTTCTGGAGATGATATTTAACGAAGTGATGCTCGACCTCCACATGGTTTGTCCTCTCATGATGAACATGACTGATTGCTATCTTTACTGTAGCTTGATTGTCGCAATTTTGCTTCGTCGGATCTGTGAGGCTAAACCCAGGTCTCTTATATTCTTTTTATCCATAGGAGCTCATAGACATCATGAACCATTCTCTAAAGCTCTGATTTCGCGCTTGGCCTCGCAACAACCTTTTTTTTGCTTTTCCTTGTGACAAGATTAATTTCCATGAACGTAAAGTATTCTAATGTCGAATCCCCATATGTTCCATCTCCATCCCAATTTGCATCTGTGTATCCGCTAACCCCTTTTACTTTACTTTTTCACAAAAATAGTCCTTTTCCTGGAGCAGACTTTGGATACATTGGTATCCTATATACAGTTTCCATGTGATCTTCACTCGGTGCATGCATAAATCGACTCACTGCACTAACTGCGTTAGCTATGTCCGAATAGGTGTGTGATAAGTACATCAGTTTCCCCATAAGTCATTGATACCTTTCTTTATTGGCGAGCAGTTATGTATACCCGTTTCTACAAGCAGATCCAGCACATACTTTCGTTGACACATGGATATGCCTTGCTTTGATCTAGCAACTCCAATACCTAAGAAATATTTTAGGTTTCAAAGATCATATAGTTCGAATTCTGTTGCAATCACCTTCTACAAAATAGCCATTTCTCCAGGGTCATTTCCCGTGACTACCGTATCACCCACGTACACGACCCAAGTTGTTATGTTCTCCTGTTGTTGCTTAACAAAGAGTGTATGATCAACATCACTTTGAGTGTATCCAATCTTCTTCATAAAGGTTGAAAATCTTCTAAACCCTACTTGAGGGGACTGTTTCAGTCCATATAATGCCTTCCTTAATTTACACACTTTGTCTTTGCAGTGTATGCTAGGAGGGGGGTCCATGTAAACTTCTTCTTCTACTTGACCTTTTAGAAACACATTTTTACGTCAAACTGTCGTAGTGGCCAATCTGCATTCACTACTATAGACAAAAGAATACGAATGGTGTTTATTTTTGTTACGGGAGAAAAATTGTCTCAATGCTCCCTCTAAAGTCTAGTTTGACAGTAAATATCCACGTGCATCCCACCGTCTTCTTTCCGAAGGGAGATTTACTAAGTTCCACGTATGGTTCTTTTGTAGTGCCTCCATTTTGTCATTCATAGCTTTCTTCTATTTTTATCTTTCAAAGCTTCTTGGATGTTGCATGGATTAGACACATAGGATAATTGTTCTATCAATAAAGCATGAGATTTAGCTATCTGATGAGAGGACACCTAGTTGTTAATAGGATATTTCGCTTGTGTGTGAGATCAGGTTGATCGTTCTTTTTTGGGACTCCTTGATTCTTCCTTACGGGGTACCTGGGTTCAGGAGGTGTGTCACACACACCAGGTGTGTTCAAAATATCATGCAAAAATAAACCGTTAGAAGAAATGGGGATTGCGGTTTCTAGGGATGATTCTTTTGGACTCTCTGTGGTAATGATAGTTGGGGAAGTCATAGTATATTGGTCTTCAAGAGTTCAAACTTCAAGTTTTCCTTCCATGAATGTGCTATCATCTGCAATCCCTGGTTCCATATTATCATCTACTTTTTCAGTTGATCCATCACTTCAATCTCATTGTTCGGAGAATTATGTGCTTCACCTGGTTGACCACTTTCGCCATTATATTCATTCATGTTCTCTTATTCTAAGTTAGATGAATTCTCCCCCTGAAGAGAACTCTAACTTTCGAAGAAGGGAACATTTTCATGGGATACAACCACTCGAGTAATGTACATTTTCTTCTCCTTAGGGTCATAACATGGATAACCCTTTTAAAAAAGCAGTGTACCCCAATAAAACGCATCGAATAGCTCTAGGTTCCAGTTTATGTAGGTCTTGATGTACATATATCGTGCATCTAAATACTCTTGGCTCCAGATTAATGTTTCATGGGATTGTTACCAGTTCATGAAGCGCTTGGATCAGGGTTTTGAACTCAATGACTCGAGATGGGTTCTGTTCATAAGATAAGATGATGATTGAACTGCCTCTCCCCAGTGTTTACGTGAGACATTCAAACAAGGATGCCGGAAAAATCTCTAAAAGTTGTCATTTCCTTGTTTATGTTAATCCATTTTGCTAGGGATACCCACACATGAGGTTTGGTGTCGTATGGACTTATGTTTGTAGAATTTTTCCATCTCGTGAATGACATGTTCACTCCCTTTATCACACTGTAAAACTTGGATGTTACAGCTGTATTGTGATTTAATCTTTCGGTACAGCTGCTGAAACACTGAACATGGTTCCCCTTTGTGTTTAAGGAGGGAAATTCATATTATACGTGTGCATTCATCCATATTAACGAGCACCACTTGGTGTAGAAATTCGAGCTAGTCCACATACATCCGAGTGAATAGTCATAAAAGGAATCAAATTTTTAGTCACTTGGGGAATACAATGTTTTATGGATTTTGGGCATTTCACAAACACCATACTTATAATCATAGTCTACGATACCATAACCATGCCAACTTTTTATTCCCTTGAGCTATCCGAGTACTGAAGGGCATCTCCATACTTATGGTCTTCAAGATAATACAACTTTCCCCACCTAGTATCATAGCCAAGAATTTTCTGAGTCTTGATGTCCTGGAACATACATTCATCAAGGCAGAAACTAGCAGAACATTTTTGAAGGTAAAGAGGGGACAACTAGAACATTATCTAGTTTGATTAACCAGTTTTCAAGTTGTTTTTCATTAGTCGGTTTTGGGTTCTTGCCGGTGAGGAATCCATATTTGTTACGTGCTCCGATGCGCATCTCCATCAGTTGTGGCCACAATGAGTAGGTCGAATCATCCAAGATGATTCCGGCAGGAAAAGGAGCATCTTGTATGGTCTGGATGACAACATGATATCAAATTTATTTGATTCGGAAAAGAAAAAAACTTTGTATTCTACGTAAGGTGCTACTCCGGTACCATGTAGTTCAGAGTTAATTTTTTCTTCGTATATCATTCCCACAATTGAAGAGTGTGTATATATACATGAAGGTACAACAGTTCATATGGAAACAAAATATTTACTAATAACTAATTAGCTTCTATCTATGGAGTGTACAACACTTTTAGAAGGGAATTAAATAAAGAAATCTAGTAAATCGGCTCTTGTTAACACATATGTTTTCCCTAAAAGAAATTTGACACTAGTTTTGGCACAATCCAAAAAAGAACGTAAGACAGGTAAAATAAGACGTGATGATACTTCCGTTCATCTTCTTGATTTAATTCATATGATTATTTATTTACAGGGAATTTGGTTGGGGATGCTTGGAGGAACAACCATGCAGACCATTATCTTGTTGTGGGTCACTTTACGCACTAACTGGGATTTACAGGTATAGTTTTGTTTTTTGAATGAATTTGGAGGTATAGTATAATATAGACAACTAATATGATGTAATTGGTTTTTTCTCTGAACAATAATAAGACGTAACAAGTTTGCTAAGAAAATTAAATATTCAATTGAACTGTGAACATTTGCTCAAAGGTTCGAATATTTTCCTAAATACATACCTAAACATTGTTTTGAAGCATCTTTTTTGCATCGTAGTTTTGAAATTGAGAATCTTTTTAACTTTATTTTTATGTTAGGTTGAAGCAGCCAAAACCCGATTGAACAAGTGGCAAGATAAGGGTGGGATTGTTGAATGATTAACAGACGGACCGGATTTGTGAATGTGTACTCTTTCCATAATAAGGGTAGTTAAAAGAAACAAATTATAGAATCTAAGGTTTTCCTATGCTTCCACTTTTTTCTACCTTCAAGGGTTGTGGTTTTGGTCTGACTTCTCGTTTGACCTAGAGTTGTGTTCGCTTTAAGTGAGCGTGTGATATGTTATTCTCATAGCAATGTCTGGAGCTTGTGTATTACTCGTCGATGTAACCGTTCGAGTGGTGAATTTTCATTGTTCATGGTTTGCAAAGCTGATTCAACCATAATTTACTGAAGCCGCAATGACTCCCTCCTCCTAGACTATCAACACGCTTAACTGGATCTCCTTTTCGATAGCTGGTCAAACCGATGATTTAGACAATTTCTGTTCGGTGGAGATTCCTTTGTTGGTTGTTAGTAAAATCAATTCTCCCTTTTTGATGACTCGTGAAATCGGATCTTTTATTTGTAATACTTTATTTTGTCTATGTAGTAGCAAGTGTAACAAGGTTGTTAGACTACGTTATTGCGGGATTATCGATATGAAAAGGTTCACATGATCTTTTTGTTCAATGTCTCATCCCATTGTAGCCATCGGCTATTCATTCACATGTTTCTTTGTTATCATTTGAATAAATTAGTTATTTGATTTTCACACAAAAACCGTAAATGAATTCATGACTAATTCAATTTGTCATTTTAATTTAAAAATGTGATTTCAAATTAATAGAACATGAAATTGAATATATTTTTTGATTGGACTAGTTTTTAAATACGATACGAATACAATATGAGAGATTTGATTTTTTTAAATTCTGTAACTTCTATTACGTAATTACTTATTACCGCTATTAATAATGTAACTTTACTTACATACACATGTTTGATCTTATAACTAATAAATATATTCATCTTAATGAATTTTTCACTAGAAAGTATTTTTTCGACCACAAAAATAATTCAGAAAAGACAACGTTCGTTAACATCATGCTTTATGCCGAAAAGCATGTACTTTCATGTAGAAAACTAGAAAAGTCCTTATTATGAGCAAACATATTAGTTACCTGATCCCTCATGTAAAAAAGTAGTTCCTGCCCGTATGACTCCTCTTGAAAATATTTTATCGTATAAATTTATATATTTTGGATCCTATTCTGTCACAGTAACTAATGGTACCATGCACTCTTTATGTCATGAATACTAGTCAAGTTTTTGTATCTTCCTTTCCTCATTTTCTTCATTTAAAGTCGGTATCTATCTATTTTGGAGAAAGGTAATATTTCATTTAAAACATCTTCAAAACATGTGTGTTGATAACAACTACAGAGTATATAGTATTTTTCATAGAAAATTCTTTCCATGTTAAGGACAAATTCACGTACGGGGGCGGTTATTCTTCGGGCATCATGTAACAATAAAGTCTATTCTATTAGCTCTTCTCTATCTCCATATGTTGCATTATCGACTCATATTATTGCTTCTACTTAGATCTCTGCCGTATATTAGATTAAGACATTGCGGTACTCATGGTTTAGAACAATTTAGGGGAAAAATGTTCTCTTGTAAGAAACTCTAGTATGATTTAATATTGTATTTCTTGTCGCTAAGGGAAATCCCAACACGTGCCCTTTCAAATTGTTTCTCATAATAGTATTAATGCATTATATATAATTCATTCAGATGCGTAGCAATCTCCGGTGTTTCGTCTAATTTGAGTTTTAAATATTATCTTCATTTTGTGAATGATTTTGCACGTTTTACCTGACTATATCATATATGATGCAAGGATGAAGTTATTTACCATTTTCACCATTTTAAATTAATGATGGAAAATTTATTCAATTGCAAAATTATTTTTTTCAAAGTGATAAAGGGGGTGAGTTTGATAATTTTGGTATGCACGCCTAGAGTTGGACTCGGGCCAGGTCGGGCCCGGCCGGGCCGCCGGTTCTGAATAGATGGACCCGGGACCGGCCCGGGTACCCACCGGGTCCGGTTCGGGTCCGAGCCGGACCGGGCCTATATCAATTTTCCCCCTCTTCCTAATTAACCCCCTCCCACCCCCAACCCCCCAAACCACCCCAAATGGCCCAAATACCCAGCCCTACCCGAAAATTTAAAAAAAATTGAAAATAATAATAATTCAATTTTGGCCCGAACCGGGCCCGGCCGGGTCGGGCCTTGTTTTGGGTGACCCGAGCCCGGACCGGAAACCCCACCGGGCCGGGCCGGAACAGTACCGGTCCCACGCTGGTTCCGGGTCGGGCCACCCGGCCCGAGTCCAACTCTATGCACGCCCATTTGACTAATACAAAACACGATACCGGGTAAGGGGTGGGTATGCTGCCCGAATATGTAATAGGGGAACTTGATAAATGCTACGACATTTATATACGTATTACGAGTAATGTGGGTCAGGGTGGATGTGGTGTTGGTATATATAATATCATATACATAATACGATATATGATACGACCGTATATGCGATCCTGATATACGTAATAGTTTCGAAATGTAGATTGCCAAATACATTAAATAAATATGTTAAGTTATGATTTCAAAAGATTAAAATGGAAAATGATTTAAACATGTTTTTTGCCCTAGAAAGTATAGTACATTTCGTTTTATATCCTGGAATTTTTTTTGTATTGTTTTACATCCCTGAAATTTATGTTCTTTTTTTAGTCCATCACCGATGATAATAACGTAATTAACCTCTATCTAACAACCAAGCCATCCCGACCAATAAGTTTTCTCTAATTATTTGTCATGTTATTCAAAAAGTATATAATTTATCTCTTTAGGTCTTTATTCATATTTTTAAAATGTCAATAATTAGGTTTACATTGTTTTACCTATCATATTGGCCTCAAAAAAGTTATATAAGGATAAATTTAAAAGTTTCTAGAGGATTTATGCAACCGACAAATTGGTGGTAATATTCAAATTGCAAAAAAATGGGGCTCCCAATTTTGATGGGCCCTGTTCCAGATAAGCTATTTAACTTGCTAAGAAACGGCCCTGCCGACAATAAATGTTTTCCAAGTAAAAGTGTTTTGGAGTTAGAGATGTACTAAAAACAAAATACTCCATATTACAGGGATGAAAAAATTTATAGAGATCTAAAATAAAGTGTGTCATATTTGCAAAATTAAACATATTTAAATCATGAAGAATAGAGACAAGTTTGTAAATATATGTTCTAATTTCGGAAAATTGGAAAACAGAAAACTGAAACTAAAAATTAGAAAACATCATGAACGTTCCTTCAAAGAAACATATATGTAGGGGTGGGCACAAAAAACCGTAACCGTTTAACCGTACTGAAAAACCGGAAAACCGGTGTCTTTTTCGGTTAACCGTACCGGAATTTTTAAAACTCACGGTACGGTTAACCAACCGGGAGGGAAAAATGGTTAGCGGTACGGTTACGATTTTGGAAATTATCTCACCGGTTAACCAGTAACCATAGGATCATACGCAAACACTACACACGGATAATAAATTTCAACAAAGGTATGAGGACGGGAAAGTGAACACTTTGTATCAGTTTTGGAATTCTGGTGTATGTATATTCACGTTCAGGCATGCATAGTGGAATAATATACACACTTTACAATCAATTACTTCGTACATAATCTACTGAAATGTATACATTTTCTTTAGTACTATACATATATAAATAGTATAATTAACCTAATAACCATATAAATACATAGATATAGGAACATATAATATGGAAAAGTAATAGTACACATGGAAAGATAATACGGTGTATACGGGCTAACTAAAGTTTCGGAGCCGGGGAGTTTTTTTGGAAAAGTTTCTGCTATATAAAATTTCTTATTTAATCTTGAACTGCTTATGTATTTTTTAACAAATCAAATGTTTAATACGGAGTAGTTTGATGACTTTATTCTTTTCCTTTTCATGGTTTTTGGTTAACCAATTAGTGGTTAACCGATATTTTGATTAACCGAGTATCGATTAACCAATGTTACGGTACGGATAATGACATTAACAATATATTAACCAACATCACGGTTAACCGAAAATTGGTTAACCAAAGTAAGGTTAACCAATCATGCCCACCCCTACATATATGTAATTAGCTAGTGGCAGACCAATAACAAGATAGTACACTTCTTAAGGTGCGGGGCGGGGCGGGGCGGGGGCGAGGTTGAATTTTAATGGTAATAGGTTTAAGTGGTGCCGATTTCACATTATGTACATTTCCAATTCTAGGTCCGACAAATCGGTCAATTGGGGATTGTTTTTCTTTTAATGTAAATGACTTATATTAAAACTCCAGAATTGAGGCAAGTTAATCAATACAAAAAGTGACACCTCGATTACTTGCTCTTGAACTAGGCTTAGAATTAATCATATTCCAAACAGTAATATAACTCGTTTATCCCAACGACACAATTGAGCCAAAAGTTATCGAAAATGTCCCTTCATCACTCACCGTAATCTGCATTATTCTTAAGGGAACAAGAATTAAAAGATCGAATTAAAAGAATTAAACACAAGCAAAACAAAGCTTAATTCGAAAAAACTACAATAATATCAACTAAAATTAAAAGATCTTCCCACAACAATGAGAAACTTGAAAATGCATCTTGAGATGGAGAAAATCGTTAGAGATCGATGTGGATCTGATCTCCCGAGCCCGCCTCTATGAATCATGTTAATTCTTGTGCCGATCAAATTTGGTCATGTTTAATTTTAAGGACCTTATTAATACTCATGTTAGTCAAACTTGACCAAGTTTAATCTTAAGGGACGGAGGCCGAGGCCATATCATGTTACATATCCAAAATTTATCATATTTCAATACAAAAATATAATGGATTTGACACATTGTTTTTATATTGGCATAAACTTTTATCACGACTCTATGCTATTTTTTTCACAATAAAACAACGTCGTAAATGAAATTTGGCACAAAAGTTAGAAGCATCCGTGATTTTTTTTTTTACCCCGGAAGGCAAACCACCAAAATCAGTGGGGCAAATGCCGGGGGAACACTTGCCAAAATTTATTAAAAACAAACAGAGAGTACACAAAGAGGGGGACTAGACCAAACCTCTTAAATTTACAAAATCATTAAATCAAAAATCTTATAGAAGGAAGCCCAAAAAGATCCATATTTAAAGCCCGTTTAGTCTTAATTGGAAGGTTACCCAGGTCCATGAAAATTTCCAGCTGATCCACTACATCTGAAGCCAGCATATGAGCTACCCAATTCCCCTCGCGCAAAGTATGAACAAAAGAAACCGAAGCGGTGTCTGAAAACATCAAACTTTCCTTAATCTTCTTCCGCCATTTCCGCACATCCGAATCCAACAGGTATGAAATCGCCATCTTTGAATCAGTTTCCACCTGAAAATTGTTGTAACCCGCTTTAATTGCCCAGCTCACTGCGAAAAGAATGGATTCAACTTCCGCCTCAAGGGGAGATGAAGCAAGAAGAGGAAACCGAAGTGCGAACACCATTTTCCCTTGGTGATTTCTCATTACTGCTCCACTAGAAGCCCGATGAGGTAAAAAAGATGCGTCTGTATGATAAAGTTCTTGCATT